TCGGAAAAAGATAAAAATCGCCAAATTTTTTCTAAATCTCTCCAAAGATTGTCAAATTTCTCCCATAAGGTAATATATATGTATTTATGTATATATATATGTGTGTGTTTGATGTGTTTGTGTGTGTTTATGTATGTGTATGTGTGTGTAAGTGAATGTGTATATATATGTGTGAATGTGTATGTGTGTGTTTATATATGTGTGTAAGTGAATGTGTATGTATATGTGATTGTGAATGTGTATGTGTGTGTTTATATGTATGTGTATGTGTATATATATATGTGAATGTGAATATGTATGTGTATGTATATGTGATTGTATGTGTATATGAATATGTGTATATGTGTGTGTTTATATGTATGTGTATGTGTTTGTGAAATGTGTATGTGTATGTATGTGTATATATGTGTATATGTGTATATGTGTGAATGTGTATGTGTGTTTGTGTATATGAAAATATATGTATGTATATGTGTATGTATATGTATGTATATTTGTATGTATGTAATGTATGTGTATGAATGTATGTGTATGTGAAAATGTATATATGTATGTGTATATATAGTATATAATTTTTTTATATTTTTTTTTAAAATTTTTTAAAACATTTGCGACGGAATGCGACGGAAAAAAATCCGTCGCAAATTGCGACGGAATTATCCGTCACTTTCCGTCGCAAAACGCAGATTTTTTCCGTCGCAAAAATGCGACGGATTAACGACCGTTATACGTTTGCGACAGCGCTATACTGACAGAAATAAATCTGTCGCATTCCGTCGCAAATTCTTAATTGCGACGGATTTCCTTTATATTTGCGACGGATTTTTCCGTCGCTCTATAACTATTTTCTTGTAGTGTATCTCTCTCTTCTCATTAATGTTTCTGTCATTGGGACCCACGCCAATGGGTATTATGGGAATAACATAATTATAAAGGTATGTTTTGAAGTATTTTTTTTATTTTTGCAGGGTATGCCGTGAAGTCTTTGTAGCATTATAGGGGTATTTTTGATAAAAGCCCCTTTTAAAACGTATATCTCTATAATATGTAGCTTTAGTTTTAAACGTTCTTATCAAGCCAAAGATAAAAGTCTCTCTCCAAAGCTAAAAAAACACAAACATGCAGTTTTGGCAACCGGAATTAGAGATTTCGGTCTCACCTTTCAATGGTTTCTAACTGAACTGGATGTCATTGCCAACTGCTACAGTTCTCACGACAACTCCATATTAGACAGATTTTTTTTTTTTCATATATAAGTTGGTGTGTTTAATAAAAAAATATGGGACATAGTCTAGGATCCAAGATCCACATTACAAGCTTTTGTATTTAAGCCCTTATAATAAAATGTGGGACATATTAGACCTGAATCTAATTAAAATCGATCTTAAATTACGTAAAATATGATATAATTTTTTGTATTTTTGAAACTAGTTAATGATAGTTCTCTATAAATTTTAATATTTTATTGGACCAGAATTTTTTTTGGTAACGGTGGAGAACCCATCGCACAGTTTTTCGGACTGGATCCCTGTCGACCCCGCAGATCGAACATCATCTCTGACAATAAACCCCCAGTTTTTGTGCAATAGCCGGCAAACCACGCGGAATAGATAAACCAATCGAAACTGACCGACTCAAGAGAAATTTAGACCTCAAGAGAAATCGAACTCACAACCTCGTATAGAGTTGGAGACTTCCCCCAATCAGAATTTATTTTCATCCTTCAAAAAATTTTAACATATATATACACATGTATAAATATTAATCAATTGGACTTTCATCAATCCGCAATGCTTGAACGACCGGCTCTTTACACTCTACATCTTTCTATCTTTTCTCAAATTTTTAGAATGTACGGTTCTTTTAGATAAATTCAGCTTTTTTTAAATCTTATAATCTTTCTTTTTATAAGAACACACTATATATATTTTTTTACATATACGCAATTAATTCTCTTCGATCTAGGGTTTCTAAATAGTATTAGGCCAGAGCACAAGCATCGGGCCCAAGCATAGAATTCAGGCCCATCAGATCTTAATTTTGGACATATCATGGTTAACTAAAGTCAAAAACCTCGGCCGTCAGCTTTCACACTCTCGCCGCCATGTCTGGAAGAAGAAGAAAAGGCATTTCGTCGAGACCACGGATGAAGGAAAAGATAGCGAAGAATGCTAAGCCACGCTTTCATTTCACCGTTGTTGCCGCACGTCGCGGCGTTTCGGAGGGTTTGGATGCCCACGAATCAATTTCGTCGTGCTTGTTTTCGAACTAAGTCTAAGAAGAATTGTACCACAACAATGGCGGATGAAAGCGATAAAATGATCGAGCACCTCGTGAGTATGGGTTTCGCCAGAGATTTGGCCGCCGAAGCTTTGTCTGAAACCGGCGGCGATTCTGTCCACAAAGCCACTGATTGGATTCTCACCCACCAGAGCAAATCCTCCAGCGCATCCAAAACCCTAAACCCTTTTTCCCCCGATTCAACCAAACGCCCCAAAACCCAAAACCCTTTTGCTTTCGATTCAAGCAAACGCTTCAAGTTGTCATCGTCATCGTTATCTGGACAACATCAGCAGCCGTTGTCGGAGCGAATGCGGCCTCGGACTTTGGACGATGTTGTGGGTCAGGACCATCTCCTTTCACCCACTTCCCTGCTTCGCGCAGCTGTCGATTCCAATCGTCTTCCTTCTGTCATCTTCTGGGGCCCACCTGGTACCGGTAAGACCTCCATTGCCAAGTCTGTCATCAATTCGTGCAAGGACCCATCTTCGTATCGCTTCGTGTGTTTGTCTGCTGTGACTAGTGGGGTTAAGGATGTTAGAGACGCCGTTGAGAGTGCCAAGAAGCTTAAACGCGAGGGTAATAAAAGGACTGTGTTGTTTATGGATGAGGTTCATCGTTTTAACAAGTCCCAGCAGGATTCGTTCTTGCCTGTCATTGAAGATGGCAGTATCTTGTTCATGGGTGCAACCACTGAGAACCCTTCTTTCCATTTGATCACTCCATTGTTGTCTCGTTGTCGAGTCCTCACTCTTAATCCTCTTGAACCTCATCATGTCGAAACCCTACTCAGACGGGCTATCGACGATCCTGAGAGGGGACTCCCCAAGAGTATCGAAATCTCGAGCATTAAGGTTGAGGATTCTGTTGTCGAGTTCTTGGCTAAAAGCTGTGATGGCGATGCACGTGTCGCATTGAATGCCTTGGAAATTTCGGCCACCATGGCTGCAGCTCGAGGGATTTCAGCCAACCAGACTAATGTAACTGCTCAGGCAATTGTTGTATCTCTTGATGATGCAAAAGAGGCTCTCCAGTCCAAGCATGTGGCATATGACAGGGCAGGTGACCAACATTACAACCTCATAAGTGCACTTCACAAATCTATGCGTGGAGGAGATGCTAATGCCGCCATGTACTGGTTGGCTAGAATGCTAGTTGGTGGTGAAGAGCCTCTTTACATAGCGAGGAGGCTGATAAGGTTTGCAAGCGAGGACATTGGACTGGCCGACCCTTTAGCTCTTAACCAGGCTGTTGCTTGTTATCAAGCTTGCCATTTCTTGGGTATGCCCGAATGCAACGTAATTCTCGCTCAATGTGCCTCGTACTTGGCCTTGGCTCCAAAATCTGTGGCCGTGTATAAGGCAATAGAGGCTGCACAAAAGGTGGTAAGGGACTCGGTTGGACAGAACGAGGGTGTGCCAATTCATTTGAGGAATGCTCCGACCAAGTTGATGAAAGAACTTGGTTATGGAAAAGAGTATATATACCCTCCCGATGATCCTTCTTCCGCGTCAGCTCAGACGTATTTGCCACCATCCCTTCAACATCTCAAGTTCCTCGATTGGCCACAATGTGGTGATCGTCGAGAAGATTGATCTCTGACTTCTATATCTCTGTTTCTCTGCATCCTTTTCTTCAATCTTTTTGCTCTTGTCTCTTGGCAAAGGGACTGTTTAGGGTTTTTACTTGTTTGTTCTCTCAATGTTCAACTGCTCAAGTCTTGTTTTTTCTTTTGGTGGTTTCACTAATGGTTAGTTGTGTGGGGTTTTGTTTCCTTTTATCACTAAACTCTCCTTTTATGTACTTTGCATCTCATATCTCTATAAGGCAGGTGTTGTACACATGCATCTCTACACATATGATGTTATATATGTGTGTGTATATATATCTGTAATAAAAAGAAACTTGGGAGTTTTGTCATTTGGTTAATTTTTACAACTATAAACTAAAACAACTTCTAGATTAAATACACAAAGTGAAGTGATTGAACTGTATAATTTTTATACCATTGTAATATGAACGGTTAATTATTTCAAATTTACGATTTTTCTAGCTATAAGTTTGTCCCCAACATTTTATTCCACTTCGATCTCGTAGCTTTCTCAATTTAATCATTAATTAAAATAATACAAAAAAAATTAGGAGACATAAGAGAAAAAAAAACCAAGGACTAAAATACTTGATTGGACATTTAGTATTCAGGTTTTCATTATTTTTTAGTTCGGTTTCATAATATTATACCCATTATTACCCATTATCATTTCGAGTTTCGATTGGATAATACTTATTTTCAAAAATTTATGGAAAAATAGCACATAAATACTTAAATTTTTATTAAAATCCCACATAAATATATGAACTATAAAACTTCCATATAAATAGCTGAATTTTTAAAAATCTTATATAAATACCTATACTTTTAAAAAAATTTCTAAATAAATACAAATTTGAGATATTTTTCAAATAGAAATAGGTGATGTCATTGACGGAATTTGGGTTTACTTGAGAGTTTTCAGAAGTTTAGGTATTTATATAGGATTTTAAAAAAGTTCAGGTATTTATATAAAAATTTTATAGTTCAAGTATTTATCTGAAATTTTTATAAAAGTTAAGGTATTTATATGCGATTTTTACAAATTTTATTTTATTTATTTTTTCCGGTTGTGTTCATAGTTGTTTCTAATTCGATTGGGATATCATGCTAAATCCGTATTTAAATTTAATTTCTTTCATATAGGTTATGTCGGAAAAATGGTAAGGAAGCGAAAGCCTCCGTTTCGGTTGGAGACTTTGGATTTGGCGGTTTTCTGTCAAACCGAAAATCTTCGCTTGGTTTGAGTGAACCAAGTCGGTTCACTAATTGAGGATGATATAAAACCCATCTTTTATCAATTGTTGCCTCTTAGACGTTTTTTTTCTATGGAGAGTGGGGGAAAGAGAAAGAAGACGACGATCGATGGAGGCGATGTACGATGATCAACAGTGATGATCTTTTTTTTATAATTCGAAAATTCATCGACCCAACTATATTTTTGAAAAGAATGAGGAAGTTTAGATTAATTTTCCTCTTCAAATTCAGACTCGGAATATAGAGTGGGAAAGAGGTCGACAGTTTGCCTTACCAATTGAGCCATCCAATATTGAGTTAACGACGAGGAATTCGGTGCAAGTTAGGCAGTATCTTTGTGTAATCTTTCCTCGATTGTTTTTTTTTATGTTTTCTTTTCGGTTTGGTGGTGAGCCTCGAAGATTTCGAGGTCACCAAAAAAGCATCGAAACTTATGGTCTAGGGTATTGTCGGTACGCGTCTCGTTCATGATGTAGGATCCTCGAGACCTAAACACGTAAATATCACATTGGACTTTTTTTCAGTAATCAAAGAACAAAAGAATTGTTATTACATGATCATTTAGGGTTATTAAGAACATGAATTAACATGATTATATACTTCATTTCTTTTGTTCTTCACCTTCTCCTCCCACCAATATGTTCACCGTTCTTATTTTGAACCGTTCAAGCTTATGGTGAATCTCTTCGATCGCACCATTTCCTCCTCCTCCTCGAGAACGGGTAGTTGAAGCGATCGGAAGCGAATTTCTTCTTCTTTGATTGCTCTTGTCTAATCGTTAACGGAGATGGATGCATGTTTTCCGCTTGTGCATGTTCGAGAATGCTGTCCGGTCTGATGGGCTGAGGAAACGATGCTTCTCCATTCATCGTAGTTTCTTGGAATGATCTTGTTAAGGTTGTTTGTGAAGGAAATCTGGAGAGAGTCTCAAAGCTGATTTTGTGGAAAAGATGGCGTCGATTTTTTCAGATCTCTTCGTACCTTTTGTTTGCAGATTTCTTGAATTCAGAGAAAGATCGCAACCAATCAAAGGTGTTTGCTCTTTTTTTGTTCTTGTCGACTCTTGTTTGGGTACTTTTGTTGATATGTAACTGGGTACGTTGTGTCTGTATATATATATATATATATAGGGTTTGGGGTTTTGGAAACATGAGAATATTTATTATTGCTTAGAAATTTTCAGACATGTTTTGAACAAGCAAATATTTGGACCGTCTTTACAAGACTTGGGCAAGAGGGAACACTGTGTTAAAGTTCTTCAAGGCTTTTGAATATTCTACGCGATTGTGTCTCGTACCATGATGATAGGGGTTTTACTTGGTCAGTTATTTCGTAAGAATTTTATACTAATCAGACCGAATTACCTTATAATTTGTTTGTCTCCTCGAATCCGGAATCAAAGTCCGAATAAAAATCCATAAGCCGAGTAATCAAACCAAAACCGAAATTGAAATTCCTGTAAGACATTTTATTTTTATAAAAAAAAGAGATAAAAAACTTATTTCTCAAAGGCAATCTTAATGAACCCATTTAATCCATCAATTCGACATCCCTCCATGCATGCGGTTCAAATCTTTATTTCGTGGTATTATGTATCCGAAAATTTTGAATATAGTCGTAAGATATTATGCTTGTGAAATTACTAGTTTTGCTTTTTTTTTAAATATTGAAATACCATTTATTGGAAGCTATAATTTCAAATGTTTAGAACCCAATTAATATGTTTTAATTCGCATTAAAACAATACTGCAGAAATATGCTTCCAATAATATTACTCCTCTTAAAACTTCTATACCTTTATCTAAAATACTTATCCAATCAGAGTTGGTCCAATGTATAACTGGTTGAGAAAGGTAATAAACTTTTATCCAATGTTGGACATTCGATGAGGAGGAAGATGTAGTAGAATCGAATGCACAGTGAATCCATATGAATCCATATGAATAATAAAAAATAATTTTTTATAAAATACTAGAAAATAATTTTTTAAATGTTTTTTATTAAAAGGTTTATATTAATAGTAACAGTATTACATATAGTCCCAATGATTACAGGTAGTAGCATCCAGCTTCTTGTACTTGAATATACACCCTCTGTTTGAGGGGATATGGCTTCGGCACTTTGAAAACCCGTTGAATAGCAAATGAAAAGGCATTTTATTATTTGGTAAGAAATGGTTGAAACGTTAACCGGATACAATCGACCCATCGATAATTGACATGTCTATTGATACAACCATTCCACTGAATTTAACTTGGATAACTTAACCGGTGAAACGGGAACACAAAACGTCTGTTCCGCATCGAGTTCGAATTTCAAGTTGAGAAGAGAGCGTAATTCCAATCACATGACTTTGTTTCCGCCCCTAGATTAGTTTGGGTTTCGCCACAAGATATTCGGTTATCTAAAAAATAACATTCGACTGTTACCACTACAAAATAATATCGTATTTGTTAGCAGATTAGCTGTCACTAAAATATTCAAATAAACCCAATTAGTGTATGGTTCTATAATTAAAAGTTGAAATTTTAGACCTAATAATGTTTTTTTTAAATAGATGATTCGATATCGAAATAGTTGTTTAGGATCAATAGAAGAATAAAAATTTCAAAATATTTTTTTAACAGATTAATTGTCATCCGTTCATTATCAGAATCAGCGGAACAAAAACAAAATGTATCGCTAAAAAAAATGTTAAAAACAAAAATTATGAGATACCATTTATATCAAATTTTACTAGAAACATATTGATCATTTTGTGCTATCCACTCTTTCAATATTTTCTTCCAAACTAATAAAATAAACTCAAAATATTGTAAAATTTTGATATATAGATATTTCGAATTTCAATTAAGTTATTTCTCTTTTTTAAATTATTTTTTTAAATAATCGATTGATTTTTAGATTAATCTTTATTTTTATATTTTATCGAGATTCACTAGATTCAATTTATTAAAAATAATTTTATTTTTATTGGTTTTTTCCGTCTATATTAATTTTTATGTTAGTATAATTTGATTTAATTAATTCAATTTAAAAAATTATATTAGAGGTATACTCAAGCTATTATGAACTAATAACCAATGATAAAGAAAGGTTATTAATAAAGAAAGCAGATCAAGCACACCGATCTTAATTTAGTTCAATATATTTTATTTCTATAAATACTGAATGCAAAAAAGGCAAAATTTTAAAAATCATTTGGTTGGGGGAATGACATTGCCTCACCAAATAAAGCAAAAAGAAAAAAGAAAAATTTGCATAAATGTAAAAAAAAACGTTTTTGCATTCTATACTTTTACTATGATAATCTTTGTATTCTATACTTTTTTTAAGTTAAAATGACCATCATACCTTCTATATTATTATAACATGAAGATTTTTTTCCATTTATAAATAAAGACAATCTCAAAAGATAATTTAAGTGAAAAAATCCAAAATTAAAAAAAAAAAGAAGATCAAAATTCGCATTTTAAATATTTTGATTCAATCTTTCAAAAGAACGGAGGTTGTGACGAAAATGTTAGTCATAAGATAAAAGCGTGGTGAATGAATGGAGATAAGCCATGGCCCACGGGGTCCTTTGCGATCGCAAAATTTCTATACGGTTGAAATAAAAATTCTATCGTAATGTCATAAGTCACGTATTGATGTATGATAGTGGGTGTTGGGCGGCGAAAGAACATGTGTCTAAAATGTGTGTCCAAGATGAAGATATTGCGATGGATATACGGACATATACGGATAAACCGAATTCGAAATGAGAGTATTAGAGAGAAACTAAGAGTCATAACCATAGAAGAAAAATTACGTGAAGGACGTTTAAGGTGATTTAGATATGTAAAACGTAGTCCGCTAGACGTCCCGATTAGAAAATTAGAGAGTATAAAGATGAAAGTGAACAAACGAAAAAAAAGTAGACCTTGACTTCCTTAAAAACGAGTCATTAGAAATGACTTGTATATGTTACAAATATCGAAAAATACGATACAAAATCGAAATGAATGAAAAAGAAAAATTTATGCGTTAACTCTAAATAAATTTGAGATTGAAGCGATGTTTTTTTTATAAAATATGGGATTAAGGTGATGTTGTTGTTGTTTAAAAAAAGATCAAAGCAACACATACAAAATAAAATTCAGAGAAAGAAAACGTGTATCCTAAGAACATTTCCCTTTTGTCTATCCACGGCCTAATTGGTTAATCATATTACAAACCAAACCCAAAAGAGAAAAAAAAAATAAGAAATACCCACAAATTATATATATATAATTTACCGATGCAAACAAAATAATTATACATCACACAAAACCCTAAGACAAATTAGTTCTTGTTGTCTTTTCACGCGGTCTCTATGCTCTTGCTGAGTTCCTCCAGTTTCTTCAACCTCAGCTTCTCGCTTTCTCCCACCAACTGCTCCATCTCCCCACGAGGAAAATGATAAACACAACCATTTATCGGATAATTAGCGAAAAAATTCGACCCGTTTTTCTAATTGTTTGCATGTATAGATCCAGAAACCGGTAATTCGAAACTAACCTCCATTAGTTTGGTGATCAGCTGAGCTTTCTCCCGGTTCTTCTCGTTGAATGCATCGAGTGCTTCTTTGTATTCCCTCTCCTGTTTCAAGCAACAAGATGCCCTAATTCAGGTACCTGACTTCATCTACTGATCGAGAACCCAAACACTCAGATGAGATGAGATCGGATATTATTTTTAGCAAAACACAAAATTCAGGTTGGGTACTAGTGTATGAGACGGATAATTAACTGCGAGGACCCGAAAAGTGGATGATTTACGGGGTTAAACCTATATTTTAATTATATTACATAAAAAACTAAACCTGGGTTTTGAATATTGATAAATTTGAAATGGATTTTTGATGTTTTTAGACACAATTGTGTGAAACTTTGGCCAAAAGGCCTTTGAATATTCGTCGCTGGTATTCAAATTCGGATATCCAATCCCAAGGGTACCAGTTCGGCTAATGAGATATATAACTAGTCAGTGTAATGGTTACGGGTTAAGCTAAAGCGGCGGAACATATGTTATACGAATGCCATGATTCGGGGGCCGTAAAACGACCAAGGATTTAGCTAGTTTGTTGAATCAAATGGAAGACCCGGGAATGGATTTCAGCCGATTTTCAGCAAAACAGAGCTGAAACATATTCCAGACAAACCCAGAACACACTGAAACCAAACTGAAACATCATGAAAAACGAATGTAAGAGTAGTCGAGGGTTTTCTTTTACCTTCTTCTGAACCGTTGCGCCTAATGGTTTCAGCTCTTTGTTCATTGTGTCGATTTTCTTGCGAACCACAGAGACTTCCTTCCTCATGGGATCTGCCAGAGACTCGAGCTCCTGTAAAAAGACATCAGTATTTTCGCACGAAGCCATGTTCCTGTTCAGATCCTCAACTTATATAGTCTCGTTATATGATTAAACCCTAAATTTCATCCCCCAAATTGCGAAACTCACATCATCAAACCCTAATCCACTGAGAAAACGCAAAATCTCCCAAACTTCTACAAAGAGACATACAGAAGAAGACATACATATACGCACACGACCGTACAGATAACGTGTCTGTATCTATGCTTAATCTAATTATAAAAAATAGCGGAGAAGCGAACTTTTCCAGAACAAATTTCAAAAATTCTTGGTCTTTAAACCCTAGGTTTCATAAGATCGCAGAGAAATTCCAGTAATCAGATCAAGAAAGCGTGATTTTTCTGGGACGAAAACAAAGGAAGAAGAAGAGAGAAATTAACACCAACCTCACGGATCAAAGCGAGACGACGGGTCTCTTCCTCGACCCGACCCAACTGAGCCTGGACCCGCTCGCGGACCTCCATCTTCTTCCTCTCGATCTCATCCTCTTTTTCAGTGTACGCAGACAGAGCCGCACGAGTCATCTCCTCATCCTCCCTCGACATATGGCTGCCGAAACTCATGCTCTCTGACGTCTGAAGCACCATCTCCCGCTGGTTCTGCGCCGGCGGATTATTCTCCGCCGTCGTCGCCGCCGTTTGCATCGCCGTCGCCGTGTGGTGGGTGTCGACGCTTCACTTCCAAAGACCGCAAAAGGAACGCGAGTTGAGCTCTTCGTCTTCCGGATAGAGGTGGGTCTTTTTATTAAACCCTATCTTTTTCTGATTTTGAAGCAAAGCGAAGCTTCTTCCTATGTGTTTTAATGGCGGAGAGAGAGAGAGAGAGAGAGAGAGAAGTGATGCTTTGATGGATTTGGTATTTTATGCTCTGTTTTTAAGTATTTAACTAATGTTTTACGTATTCATGATTCCGTTACTATTTAATCAAACCATCACTCCATTTACATGAGATGAGAGCTAGGACTGGGCACAAATACCCGAAAATCGGGTATCCGTCGGATACTCGTCTCACGGATACCCGATTTTAGGGTACTCGTAATTTTCAAATTCGAATTCAAATCCTGATTTTTTAATACCCGTGAATCCGGATCCAAATCCGGATAATAGAATTTTTAAAATCGGATACCCGCGGGTACCCGCGTATTATAATTATAAATAATTATATCTTATATTTATATAACATTTTTATAAAATACAATTATTTTAGATGAAATAATTTCATATTTTTTTAATATTAATTCAAAAAAAATTAAATTTATTATTATTTGTCTCTTATTATCTCTTTTGTTTTATATATTTTATCATAATTCATCAATTTTTATAAATATATCTTCATGTTTTAAAAATTTTATATATGAATATTGTTGTTTTTCTTAAATAAATCCGGATCCGGATATCCGCGAGTACCCGACTATTATTTCGGATACCCGTACCCCGGATACTCGTAAATACCAAATCCCGGATACAAATCTTATAGTTAAATACCCGAGTCTCCCGGATCCGAATCCAAATCTCTCGATTTTCCCGGGTATCCGACCCGTGCCCACCCCTAATGAGAGCTAAAAAGGTTTCAAGTAAATTTGCATATTCAAAATATCTCTATTTCTTGCCAAATTTGGCAGATATAACGATGAAATCTTTCATTCAATTTTAGACATTCAATTGAAAATCAAGAAACAATTTACGGAAACCAATCAAATGGGTCCACTTTCAAGAAAGATTATTGCTTCCCAACCATTGAATTTAAGTACAGATAACCTTCAAAGGTTTTATTTCCACGTGTAATGTTCGCCGTAGAAATGGAATGAACATCGCAGTTTTGAGCCTACAAAGAGAGGCGGTGGGTTTGTTTGTTTTTATTTTTAACTGAAAAGAAGGATTCCACCTTTGGGAAAGATGACGGCTATAAAGCGAAAGCCAAAAATGTGTGAGATGCATACTATATTGACGTATATTTGTATGTATACACTTTTTTATATGAATGGAGCAATCAAGTATGTTATTGAATTAATTAACAAAATTAATAAAATAAACAAACGTCCCAATAAAATAGAAACAAATTGATAAAATATATAATAAAATAGTTTTTGTCATATATATATATATATATATATATATTAAATCTTGTAATCTTTTAATTTTCAGTATCAATTATCCGAAATATCTTTAGGTGTTATCCAATCTACACCTAATATCAACTTCTTTTTTTTCATCGCTGTCGGGGTTTTTTTCTTGGATAATCTCTAATTATCAATCTTCTATCCATCTTTTCAAATATGATACAATAAATCTCCACATCTTGATGGCAATGCAGACAAAAAAGAAATGTTACAAAAAAAAAGCAACGAAAAAAATGCACAAAATATCAGAGAATGTCTTTATGATAGTCCGATATTATTATGATGTTTTGTACCGAGTGCTTCCACTCGACTCAAATCGAAACGAGTTGATTCGTCCTAGATTTATCTCGTTAGATTTGTTTCCAGACATGTTATGACTCATTTTTTCATGATCTAAGTGAATCGGTTCGCAAGGCAATATTTTTTAGTTATATTATGAAAAATACAAAATAAACTGTATTTTTATATAAAATTTAAACATTAAAATATCAAACTATAAAAGAAGTTATACATATATAACCAATAAAATTTTAAATTAAATATTAATTTTTCTATGAAATATAAAAAATTATAAATAAAAATATTAAAAATATATATTTTAAAAAAATTATCTCAACTTGCCCGACAATTCGTGGTTCATGAGCTATCTCGTCAGAGCTTGCGGCCATGGCAAGTCGGGTCATTACGCTCGTTTATAAACAATTCTTAAAAAATATTAGCTCAATTCATTTAAAAATGAGCTGATAACGAGTGTATCCGCGAATTAAACTCATTTTTGATACTACCCCAAATTCCAATTAAAAAAACTCAATTTTGATACCTATATTTTGAAATATATGAGATTTATTTTCATTGATGAAACATCAATTATACGACAATCATAAGCAATATTTAATGTCTTCCTAGGAAACAAATAAAAACAACACATTAGGTCCAAATAATCAATAATCAAACATCAGATAATTAAGATATAATAATAAATGACTCTATTTGGACCGATAGAGTCATTGAATTCTCCATGAATGGTGTTTTTTGATATTTCAAAATTAGAGAGAATTTTCTGTTAATGTTTTTCTTCACTCCATTGATCAAGGAGAAAGTTGTTTAAATAAACAAGTGACAAATGAAAAATCTGTAAACTCTAACTAAACTAAACCAATCCAAACCAATTAATGTTTAACCGTAGTTACATTCTAGTACGTCCCCGCAAGATGGAAGTAGTGAACTTCCATCTTGACAACCACAAAATTACCAAAACCAAATACGAAAACTGAAACTAGTAATAATGGAACGCATCACTTGAGGAGGTCAAGTATTGTCGTCAACCTGGTATTCCTTGTTGAAGAAGACAACCTCGTTGGGAACACCCACATGCGAATAAGAAGGATATGATCCTTAGTCTGCGGCATCGGATCGTCGCCACAGGAGACGACGAGGATAGCTCTATCCACTTGCAAAGCATGGGTGATCATGTTTTTGACGTAATCGGCGTGTTCAGGACAATCAATGTGGGCATAATGACGGTGCTCAGTCTCATACTCGACCGTAGTAATGTTGATGGTGATACTACGGGTTCCCCCTCTAGCAATGGAGGTAGAGGGGCAGAAAGAAGGACATCGAAGAAAGCATTTCATCACCATTGAAGAACATTCATGGAAGAAGAAGAAGAAGAAGAAAAAAAACATCAAGAGAGAGATGTTTTCATGTTTGTAACGACGCCCATGTGACAGCCCCATGATACCGTAGGAGGGCGGGGAGTGATTGTCGGTGTGAGAGGCACGAACAAGGAGAGGCTCCTGACGAGCTTCTGGGTAGGGAGTACAGAGATGAATCGAACGCACCGGAATGAGAGGGATCTGAGGGCTGTGTAGATATAGGATTACACAGTCAAAAGGCCAAGAAAAAGTTCTGGCAAAATGGAATTAGCCGGTTCCATATGGAACCGAACAGGTTCCATTTTGTCCAAGTTCGACCCAAAATCAGTTTTGGGCCAAAATGGAATCGGCCGGTTCCATATGGAACCGGACTGGTTCCACTTAATTCGGCAGATTTCCTTTTCTCACTCAAATTAGGGTTTTTAAGGAATAAAATAAATAGGACACGACCCCTAGGGTTTTGGCACTCCTCCTCAGACTTTTAGAGCATATCTAAGAGTCTCAAAACCCCCCCTTTTGATTCCTACAAACCCTGCACACAATAGAGATCGAGATTTCTAGTCCTAGCAGACAAGTTTCAAGCGCTGGAATCATTCCCGACGTGTGGATACGTGTAGAGGGCTTGGTACACTTCCTGCCTTCTTGTGATCAGCAATTCAACTTTGAGAACATGCCCTGGATCGTTTGAGGTTAGTGTATATGTATATGTATATAATTGTGTATAGATATAAAAGTGTGTATATATGTAATATATAATTTTTTATTTTATTTTAAAAAATAAATTTTAAAATTCTGTAATTTTTTAAAAGTTTTTTTAAAAAAATTATTTTATTTTATTAGTTTTTTTTAAAAAAAAATTTAGATTTTTTTTATTTTATTTATTTATTTATTTTCTGATATGACATGATGATTTGGCGAAATCTGTATGATGTGGCATGCCACGTCAGCATTAAAATTGATGGAACTTAACGTCGTTTACGGATATGGAGAAATTGCAACATATTTTAAGATGTTGTGTGAGAATTTGGAAATATTTGAAATCCGGTGTAGTTTTTTGTCAAATTAAAAATTGGTGTAGGAAATTGGAACATTTTCGAAAATTTATAAGGGAATATGGGATTCTCCCTTTTATAAATTATACAATGTTTCACATTCATGCTGTAAACCGATTCCATAATTGCTAACTACCCCTCTGGTACCGACTAATTTCCACCAAAATTTTACAATGTGATTTTCCTTTCGGAAAGGAATTTAATTTCAAATGTCACAAATGTTTTGCCCAAAAGATACGAAATACCAAATTGACCCTATTTAACAAAAAAATAATAACAATTATTATATCCTCCTTGCATAGGAAAAAGAAAACAAATTCAATGGAATTTCGGAAGACTAAAACAAGAAAAATGAACAAATGGGTTTTGTTCGTTTGTAAGAAAAATCATGAAGACAGATATGTTGTCAATGTCTTTCTCGCCAACTCCAAACTAACGCTATATTTTTTTAATAAAATAAATAGAATAATGAAATTGGCACCCACAAGACATTGAACATTTCCACCCACACACACTCCTTAATGCCAAGTCAAATCCTTTAGGAACCATTCCTCACCTAATTTCTTCGGCCATTTTACAAAATATGTCATGGTACTATTGGAGAAATAAGATTAATATGGAAGGTAATAGTGAAAATAGTTTTATTTTTATACCGACATAAAATTGGTACAAATTTTCGTTAATTTTTTTTGTGAATCAGTTTAAATAATTATAATTAATTTTAATGGTAGCCACGTCTATTACTACTGATTTAAATATTTCGATACATGCTGTAAAGTTTTTTTTCTTCATAATGAATACCATATATTGTATGAGATGTGTTGTTGTTATTTGCGTGTGATATGCGCAACGAACCAATAATAAAAATTCCGAAGTCCATGACAAGAAATCACTACTTACTGTTCCCAATTTGACGCATGAACCAGATAATGACTTGGTAAATGAAATCACAAATTGTACAAAAATACGTCAAACTTTTCAAACTCAACTCCATTATTATTATTATTATTATTATTATTATTATTATTATTATTATTATTATTATTACTAGAAAAAATAACATAAAAATACCTAAACTTTTATGAAAATTTTACATAAATACCTGAATTATAAATATTTCATATAGGTATCTGAATTTTAAAAATTTGAAATAAATATCTAGATTTTTGAAAAAAAAATTTAAATAAATACAAATTTTAGGTATTTTTTAAATAAAAAATATGATGTCATTAACGGATTGTGGGTTTATTTAGGAGTTTTTCAGAAATTTAGGTATTTATATATGATTTTAGAAAAGTTTATATATTTATATGAAAATTTTATAATTCAGATGCTTATATGATATTGAAATTGTAAAAATTTAGGTATTTATATGCGATGATAATAATATTATTATATATATATATATGGTTTACCAAAATCCACTCAAAATTAACGTATACAAATATTGTAAAATTTCTTCTATTTACAACTGAATAAGTAAAAGAAACAGGAAAAAACTAGAAGAAAATTACAAAACATTTAAAAGAAAAACGTTGAAAATCATATAAACGAGACAAAAACGGTGCATTTTGGAGTAAAACCGCGAAATCACCGAGGGTCCACATTTACTTCACCGTGTGTTTTGGAGAAACTGTTAAAACACGCCACGTCAGCTCCAACGACTTTTCAAAAACAAAATTTGGTAGGTCCCACAAAACCAGACGATATTTCAACCTAGCGGGAATGGACCCCACTCACCACCACCCCGAATCAGACGGCGCACGTCAAGCCACGTCAACATCCACCAACAAATCCGCTCTCCTCCCCGAAGCAAACCGGTTCATTCCTCCCAAACCGGACCGCACCGGTTCATTGAGCGACCTCCTCGGACCGGCGCTAACCGCGTCCACATCATCCGGTGGAAGCCGGTTCCTGATGTCTCTCGCCGCCGGATGCACGTCTTCCCCACGCGCTGACGAGGATACGTCCTTGCACCCGCCTCCAGTTCGGAAGATGGCCCTGAAGCTGGCGAGGAAACCGGGTTTCTTGCTCCGGTTCGGATTATCAATAACAGGATTGGACCGGACCGATTTCTGACGGCGGATCCGGTGGCTCCGGTCGCGTTTGGATCTGACTCGTCCCATGCATGAGACCTTCGGCGACGAAGGTTCGGACAACGAAGGATCCGATTTCAACCTCGACCCGACCCGTTTTGGGATCAAAAGTGCTTTTGCGATTCTGCAATTTCTCCGGCTCTTGGCTTCGTTGAAGCATGTCTTCTGCGGTTTTGGCAATCCGAAGATCGATGCCTTGGGCTTCAGCGAAATCCGCTGCGAGTTCGAATTCGGGTGGGAAGTTGAACCAGGATTGGAATTCGGGTTGAAATTGGAACCCGGATTCGAATTCGAGGTCGAGTTCCCTTTCTGCGATTCTTTGCGCTCAAAGAATGCGTTCTGACTCAGCCACTCGATCTGGTCTTCTTTTGACAGGAAGTAAGATTCCGGCGGAAAATCCTGCGGCGGAGTCGCGACGGAGCCGGCGTCGGGTCGGGTTTTGGGGTCATCGATCGGATCTCCGGCGAGGGTTTCGCAGCCAATCTTGCGATCGGATCCTCCGCTGGATACCGAAGGGACTAAGATCTCCAGATCGACTTGTGGCATCTAAAACGAAACTTCTCGGAGATGAAGGTCGTGAGAGGTTTTAGAGAGAGAAACAGAAAGGGTTTTGGTTCTAGTGAGAGAAAGGTGCTGAGAAGAGAAAGATACAAAAAGTATCGGTTTTATAAAAATGGATCTCTTTTTTTTTTTGAGTTTATCTGAATTATTTATTTTTTATTTTCCTTCCTCTATTTTAATTAATCTCGAGAAGTTTTGGGGTATGATTAGTTGACTTGCGTGACTTTTGAGCCGGTGGCTTTTGGGAAAAAGGTATTTTAACATCTCAATTATACCTAATTATATACTTCAATATTAAAATAATCATTTTATATCTTAAATTTTCGCCAAATATCCGGAAATAAATAATATGGTATGATAATGTGTCACATAATGATAATGTAAGTTTTTAATTTTTATCCAATATTGAATGGTGATAACTGATAAGATTAGGATCTTAAAATATATTTTGTAAAAAATGAAAATTAAAACGTAAAATAAATTAAGTGTAAAAATATTTAATAAAAAATAAATTGGGTAATAAAATGTATTTCTATCTTCACTATATTCCAATATATTTCTTTTCAAAATTTTCAAATTTTCTTAGTTTTATTTATTTCAATTTTCTTATTGTATGTGTTTGCTTAACTATTTCCGGAAGGAAATAATTGTAGACAATTATCGCTTCAAAAATATGTAAAATATTCAAAGTTTGGTATATGTATACTCCAATTTGATAGCTCAACCGGTGAAATGATGATGTAAAATATTTGTTTCGCCCCGAGTTCGAATCTCAAATTGGAGAGAAGAGTGTAATTCCAAACACACAATTTGTTCATCGACTCCGGAATTAGTATAGATCTCGATCCAATACACCCAATTATCCAAAAAAACAACCGTTTAGCATATTTGTATGATGACGTGTTCATCCCCTCGAAATCTTTAAATAGGAACAAAAGGAGAAGGGATACAATGTGATTGATATACAAATAGAATGCAAAAAAACGTATTAACATTGCTAAAAAGCAAAAACAAAATCAAAATGTTAAAAAACAATATTGTTTTTCTATATTATGTATCAAATTATCATAGCAAATAAACCTAAAATAAATAAATCAAACCTACCGAATAAAATCAAATTTATCCCAAATTTAATTTTTTAAATTTTATCAATTAAAAAATAGTTGTGACAGTCGTTGTCGATGAGGACAGAGAAATGATCGGTGGTACGTACGCGCACAGACAAAAAGCAACTCTTATCAAGCTTCTAGATGAGAGAGGTACGGAGATGAATCGAACACACCGGAATGAATGAAGGAGATCTGAGGTATGCGTAGGTGTGAGACTACATAATCAAAGATAACTTAAAAGAATTGATTGAGCTACTCATACCAACAAGATCCATCTACCCTTTTCGATCGTCGGTGCAGGTGGTACAGACAATGAGTGGCTCTCGAGTACCGCTAGGGCAGAGGAGTACAAGAATGAATCGAACGCACCGCAATGAGAGGGATTCGAGGACTGTGTAGATATGAGACTACACAATCAAAGATAAATTAAAGAAATTGATTGAGTTACTTATACCAACAAAATATATTTACCTTTTCGGTTGTCTATCTCGAGAGAACTCTAAAATTAAGTATGTTTCCTCTAGAATAGTCTTAAGATGTGTGATCTCATGAGAATTATTTTTCAGGATGTATAAGAGTGAACACAAAAATACTAAGAGGTCATATGTTGGTGTGTAAGGGTAGTTCCATCATTTTGTAGCGGCTTCGGAGCGTTATAACCGCCCTACTCGAATTCTATTTTTTCCAACTTATAAATATATCTATTCGAAAAAAGATAGCACCAACATTAATGGAAGGAAATCTTCTGCATATCTTTATGATTATATGCATATCAATTAGCTCCTACGATCATCTTATTCAGTTGCCTAGTCTTACTCAATTACCCTTGTAATCACTCATGTATATATTTATGCTGTATGCTATTGAGAACACAATACGAAAACCCTACTTTCTCAAACTTGGTTTATGGTATCAGAACAAAAGTCTTGCGACATTCCACTTTTTTTTTCTCGCCGCACAAATCTCCGGCAACATGTCCACCGAAACCAACACCACCAACACCCCTTCCGATGGCACCCCTGTGTCTACAGACACCGTCCATCCCTATAACCCCGACAATCCTTCTTCTCCTTTGATTAACATCAATGTGACCAATATTTCCAAGCTTTCGGCATCCAATTACCTCACATGGAGCCTACAAATCCGTTCTCTTCTTCAAGGTTATAACCTTGAGGACTTCCTTGATGCCACCAAATCCACATCACCGACAATCACCGAAAACACCACGACCATCCCCAACCCTGCCTATGCATCTTGGTTTCGTCAAGATCGGTTGATTTTTTCAGCCCTCCTCGGCTCCATCTCACCATCATGCCAAGTCATTGCCCGAGCAACCTCCACGAGTGAGGCGTGGACGATTCTCACCTCCACCTATGGTCGGTCAAGCCGGGGATATATCAAGCAAATCAAAGACCATATGAGACGTTTCTCCAAAGGCGGAAAATCTATTGACGAGTTCATGCATTTCTTCAAGACCAAAGGTGATGAGCTAGCTCTTCTTGGCAAACCCCTAGATCATGAAGATCTTGTGGATCTCATCTGTAATACCCCGAAACCCGATTCGAATATTTAATTATTTAAAAATGAATAATTAAATAGAGATATCACGAAATCACCAAAAAGTGATGGTACAATGCCGGGGAGAGGCACGATGATCGTCACGGGCGGAAATGATCGAGAAAGAATGAAGAAAAAGGAAAAAAGAAAAAAAAACAGGGTTGGTCCGCCGGACCAAGATTTGGTCCGGGGCGGACCAACCTGCTCAGGCGGACTCGGACTGGACAGCGCGGACTGGGAGAAGTTTCGAAAAAAAAAATAAACTGACCCCGGTCCGGTGGACCAGGAGGTTGGTCCGGCGGACCGGGAATCGACAGAACGCAACTTGCGCTGTTGCCACCTTGGAACGCGGAATTCGCCGGATTCCGGGGCCCACTCGCCGTGCAGCCTCCTCCCACACCTCGAGGACGTTGCAGGCTCGCATATGGGCTTGGACTTGAGCCCACGAACTCCCTAGCTCGCGCCATAAACCTCTCCCAAGTTGAGACTTAGGCACTTTCGGACATAAATAGAGGAAATAGAGAAAGAGGGAGAGAGGGAGAGAAAGGCGATGAACCAGGGCAAGGGGAGCTCGGGGAAGTAAGGGGGAACGTCCCTAGACGTGCCCTGAAGGTGTTTACGGCGTGAGGAGAAGCAGAGGACGCACACAAGCTCGGACAACCTCAAGAAACAAGGTGAGTGGCTTGAGTTGGATTTGTGAGAGCTTGTTTTCAATGTGTGATGGTCCAAATCGAGATTTCATTGCGTGTTTGAGGTTTAGAACATGTTTAGGGATGTCAAACTGTGTTTTAGTAGCATTTGGAAGCAATCCCGAATCGATTCGGGAAAGAAAAATCGAAACAGAATCGGAGAAATCGCGAGGGAGAAGAAAGTTCCAGTCCCGGTCCGCCGGACCAGGCGTGGTCAGCTCCGGACCGAGACTGGGACAACACGCGAACTCAGACCGGACCAAGGAAACGGACCGGACCAAGAGAAAACACGTCCTGGTCCGCCGGACCAGTCCTGGTTCGCCGGACCAGACGTGTTCCGAGGAGACACACACCGCATGACTAGAAGAGACGGACCGAGTGGGGAGAAGCAGGTTGGTGCGGGGCTGATCAATCCTGGTCCGCCGGACCAGACTTGGTTTTCTTCTCTCGGACCGACTGACCAAGAGACGGAGCGGACCAGGGGAGAAGGAAGACTGGTCCGGCTAACCAGAATTCGGTCCGCCGGACCAGGATCCGAGAAAAATGGGAGAAAACCTGATTCGACCGGGAAAAAGGAAACAGCCAACGGGGTTAACCCGGGCCTGACCAGACTTAACCGTGGGCGAACGAAACCCCCACTAGAGAACGGAATTTCCGGGTTCAACCCGGGCTACTCACTAAGCAGTTGTGCTTAGCCCTCGTGGTTTACATTTTTCAGATCACGAGGATTACGCCTAGCGTATCCGGCAGACGACGACCTGAGAGAGGCAATATCATGTACGGGATTTACATTTTGGGTTACGGGACTTGTATTTCCCGCATTTTGTACGGTTAAATTATAACTATTCGGACATGTGTTATTTTGCGATACTAATCGCATGTTGTACTTTCTGCTGCTTACTCTAGCTTATTAAAAATGTTTTTGGATTTCGTATTTTGCTTCCGCATTATTATTTTATTACTATTTGTCCATGTGGCACAGCTCGTATACTGTACACGGGTTACGGGTGTCACAACTTTTGGTATGAGAGCCACGTTCTTTTCTCGGGAAGGAATCGTGCTCATTACCCAACGATTTTCTACGAAAAATGTTTTCAAACCATGTCCGAAGAACATCCTCTTGTCCGAGGTCCGTACATTGATGATGCAGTATCGGTCATCAGTTGCTAAACTATCTTAATGTGGTGCAGTGAAATGGCGCCACGACGTGCTAGGCTCGCAGCGAAAGCTGACGACATTCCTGATCAGGCTCCACCGCCTAACCCGGGAGATGAGGGCTGGAGGGCCGAGTTTCGGCAGTTCCAGGAGACCGTGTGGCAGCACCTAGCTACCCATGCACCACCACCACCCCCGGCGAGAGACCCAGAGCCGAGAGAGGAGGACCTTCACCAGCCGCCGATACCTGCTGCGATGGCGGGATACCTCCCCATCGTCAAGGAGCTACGGGCGATGGAGGAGTGGCTCACCCAGATCGCTCAGGACTTGGAGTATCTGTAGTGCCCGTACCAGTACCGGGCTATGATTGCGAGCCATCACCTGTCGGGCCAGGCCCGACATTGGTGGGCGAAGGTGGTGCAGGAGGCACCAGCGGGACACCGTTTCACCTGGGAGGAGTTCCGACAGGAGTTCGAGGTGAAGTAATTCCGGAGGCAGGACCATGAGTACCGCATGACCGAGTTCCTCATGTTGCAGCAGGGAGACATGACGGTCAGTGAGTATGAGGCAGAGTTCA